CAATGCGGCAGATGAAGCACTCCTCGTATTTCCTGACCGAAATCCGAGCCAAATTGAGTACTTTATCAAACGGACTCGTTGGCTAAAGTGGGCGCTATGAAGGCGATATTTTTGATTGACAAATCGCCTTTGCGGATTCTTTCTCAATTATCCGCCAGCAAGTCCTCACCAACTGGCAACAAAAATTGAATGAGAGTAATCTGGGAAGATGGTTACATTCTATTCTCCTACAGCTATCGAACAAGTCGTGGTTCAAAGAGTTGGACATGAGCCATGACTTTATACCTGTGATTTCGAGGCTCATGTCCAATTACTGCTCGTTAGACTTGCATTCCTTTCGAATCGGCCTCGTAGGCAGCAACTTGTGCGCTTGTGGTAGTGGTTATCACGAGATCGACCACGTGCTTTGGTCATGCACCCTTTATTGTGTTGCTAGATCCGAGTTATCCACATCACTCAGGGCCCGAGGAAAACAACCCAATCTTGGCGAACCAAGATCTCGACTATTGGAATTCATTTGTTTTTAAAACGGATAGATCTGAGAATTTAGCAGTTAGTGTCATCTTATGTTCTCCCAAGCAAGCATGGGAAAATTCGTTTCATTTTGAATTTACTACTCACTTACACACGCCTAGAACATCATAAATGAATAGCACTGATTTCGTTCGTATTCGTATTCAGGGGAAACATGTCAGAAGGGTAAATAACGTAAACAACAACTTTGAACGTCGATTTCTCTTAAATGACCACACACCCACGGAATCTGACTACACCAGCTCATAGAACAAACATTTCTCTGTCAGATGATTTAGATAGTTTTAGTGGGTGTGTTGTCATTCGTAAGAAACCGACGATCCAAGTCATTGTTTACGTTTCGAGTTAGACCCTTCTGACATGTTTCCCCTGAATTGAGCAAACCACACTGAACCAAATCACCCTCCATTTATAGAATGAAACATCATTCAGTTGCATCCAATTCAATGTTTCTGAAAACCGTATAACAAAATTAGTCGGATGATTTTCTATTCGGAAACATGTGGATGTGATGCTCTTTTGATTGGTGAATGAATATTGACATATTTTTGTATGCAATAAATATGTTAGATATAATGAAAAACATTCAGTATGGAAACGAATGGAATATCATTTGAGATAGTCCCATAACTAAATTCATTTGATTTCAACTATAAAGTCTTTTATAACCGAAAAAAAATGGCAACACACGTTATATTAAAACTTGAATGTAAAGTTGTTATATATTCCACTCAGTATCAGCATAGAGGTAACTCTAAGACCAGAAGGTCCCGAAGGAAAGTGCTCAACTTTTTGGCTTAGCTCTGGTACTCTCTTCGTCCCAAGCTAATAGATGCACCCCTCGAAACATAGGAAAATCCAAGAGCCCCTTTATTTTATCTGTCAAATTTCCATAGCGAATCAAAACAAACATAGTGTAGTACTAGAATTTCGACGAGAATGGGGTACGTTAATCGATTTGCTTGGGACCAATAGGCTAGTCAAGTAGTGAGCCACTTTAAAATTGTGATTTGAAAATTGTGGGTGAATCGATTAGCTTGGGACCGAAGAGAGTACCAGAGCTGAGCCAAAAAGTTGAGCACGTTATTTCGGGACCTTCTAGTCTTAAAGTTACCTCTATGGTAGTAGCATAACTTCTCCAGAGGATCATCACCGATCGTTTCAAACATGTGCTGCGCTCTCATTGGTGGAAAAATTACAGCACAGTGAACAAAAAATAATCGATTAGTTGTTTATCGAGTAATGAAAAAATGGGATATCTCTGATGTTATGTTTTTATCAAAACAAAAAAAAGTGTGCAAAATTTCATCTCTACCGAGGGGGCAGCAAAACCACAAAATTACCTTGCATTCATTGGATGAAAGGGACCGTGAAAAAGGACACTAAAATTGAAAGTTTTTCTTCCGACAGTTTCATGAATCTTAGTATTCTTCTTTGGTTATTCTGTAACACATGAACATAAGCGTCACGCAAATACCGTAAAACTTCTGTGACCAATTCAACTGATTTAAATCAGTGAGCCAAAAACTATCTGACTCGGCTATTTAATTCGTTAGCATTCGGATTTTAAGCATTCAATTCGGTTCTTCCTTGGTAGAGAAAATCGTTCGGCTGTCTTTCAGTTTATCCTTCTTTCCTTCTGCTGCTGTCAGTTCTTAGTTGACCTGCAGAGTCACTTGGTTGGAAGAATTTACACTCGTTCGGCAATCTGTTTGTAGATGAGGATGGCTATTTTGCCTCTTTGGTACTCGCGCGAGTGAATGAATTTTCCCATGCTTGCTCCCAAGTTGTTAGCTGCCCATCGGTGTATCCACATGTCTGTCTTTTTCATTAGTATGTCGCTTAGTTCGAGATCAAGAGCACAGTGTTCTTCAAACCTTGTGTTTTCAATCGCTATCCTGGAATCCATTTGTTACAATTTGTTACCCCTAACCTCGAGATAGACGCGAGTAATCGACCCACGCTTTCCTAACGTTTGTATTAAGTAATTTTGTAATCTAAACAGTGATATCTGCTCCGCAAAGCTACGGCAAATGAGCCTGGAAAAATAAAAACATCATAAAAAAAAGTATTCAAGATATCGAAATTAGAATGTGTATTAAAAGAATTCGATCTGCTCCGTAAAGATCCCGCGATTTAGCTTTTCTCGGTTTGGAAAAGGATAAGTTCGGACACGTAATAGACAGTGAAAGCCTAGCCCGGCTGGGGTGTACTTTTTACATCTCTCGAATCGAGTACATTTCTTCATTATTTTTGCTTTACCTTCCTCTACACTAGCTCTCGTTCGCGTCAACAAGTATCATCCTGCTCGTTATATCGATTCAAAACCAGCGCAAAACACTTTCCCTCCATCTACTATTTCGTTTATATAATATGCCCAATCGAATTCAGATCTTTAGGGTGCCCTTCTTCTAATCCATACTAAGGTATATTTATAGTGGTTTCTTCTTCCCTATAAACCGAACACCGTCATCACCTTTCTCTATCGCATCGCATCTTCTCTAATATTTCCAGTTTGTCTGTGTGTAATATGCGGTAAGTTAATGCTTCTTTTTTTTTTGCTTTCATCACTACATTTGATTTCAAATATAACATTATCTAGGTTTGTGAATAATTTTCTTTTTTGTTTTATACATCTTTCTTGTTTTCTTAAATTTTGTTTAGGTTTTTCTTCTTCTTCTTCTTCTTCTTAGTTTTGTTTAATCCGAAACGTGAAACGATTAATAGATAACAACTGTTCTCTTGTTCTGTGTATATTGTATTTCACTGTACTGTTTTACTTTCTGATCTTAGGATGTCTTATTCTGAGGGAAGGGATGTTCTACTTGGGTTGTCTGTGTTTTGCTTGTATTTGTGTATTCTATCGAATCAAAAAATTTTAGATACTACTCGCTTAAGTGTTTTTAATTTTCTTCAGCATATAAATTATTGGTATTACTAATAAACAACATCGTAACACTTTTACTCACGCGCACCTGAAACTACGCATTCCGGGCACTCTCTCTCTCTTTCCAGCACGTCAATCAATTCGTCACACTCGAGCAGTCGTCCATCAGTAGCTATTCCTTAAAAATGAGTTCTAAAATTTACCTAACATGTCAGCCGCACACCTACAGGCACTCTTCCTCGTTCTCGCTCTTTCTTTTCAAATCAAACCTCTGCTTATACCTAAAGTATCCATGTGTATAATATAGGTTTTAAAAACACAAAAGGAAACGAAAATAAAACAAACATACATATGGACGAAAGTAGACTATTGACAAATAAGAAATAGAAACACAAAGCAACGCGACAAATGAACCAATGAGGATAAGTTTGTATGAGTGCGCCCTAAGGTCAAACAATATTCAGTACCGCGGGTATGACGGGGTCGTCGTAAATGGTGAATCCAGATCGGATCATGCACGAAGATTATCAAGGATCAAAGGATCTGGTAAAGCTTTATTAATAGCGAATTCGTTTATTATCGGGGTTGGAACCAGTTCCAACCCGTGCGAACCCGAACTTTTTGTCAGTGCGAACCTCGACCCGTGCCAGGTTTTAAAAACAAATGATAAAACTGACGTTTGTTGGAAAACAAGCAGACCCAATCTTGATACCCGATCCAGGTTGGAACTGAATAATAAACGAATTCGCTATAAGACAGTTGAATCGGACCAAATAAATCAATTTAAAAAAGCAAGGACCCCAACAGTTGATTATCAAAACAATTTTGAGGAAAAGCGGGGTTAATTTTCTATTATATTTCAGGTTGTTCCGCGGTTGAGAAATCAAGAAGAAGAAAATCCGCTGAACCGGCATTCGTCAAAACGACCCCGAGGTGATCCCCTGCCTCCAACACTCAACTCTCCCATAAATCTCAAACTCATCTGACTTACACTCTCCTCTGCTTGCAAGTTGCAACTCAAGGAAGCAATAAAACTAGGTTCTAATATAAGATTAATGTGGTCGTAGTCTTTTTCCTTTCTAAAAAAAATCACCTTTCAATCACACACTTTCATTCGCTCCCACACAAGAGTCCACATTTCACAATCACAGTGAGGACACCTGTGCAGCACATAACAAAAGAAAACCCGAAAAACTAAACACATACTAATCTACAAATGAAAAGGTTTCAGCATATCAACATCATCTTGCTCTTATTGTTTGTTTAGTTTAAATGTAGGATTACGGTCTCACTGAAATTCACCAGTTGGTTGCTCAAATAAAAAATATGTTTGTTTATTAAATCCGTAGTCATTCTGCCATGCGAGTTCCTCACTTTAGTTTCGGTTACTACCTACAACAACGTCCCTACCAACGTCCGGTCGTCGGTCGGTAGAATGTAGACGAATTTTGTTCATGTCCGTAGGTATGTAGGTGTGTATGTGTGTTCGTGTTTGCATGAGAGTGTGTTATTGTTGTTAGTCGGATTCTGCTTCGTTTGAGATTATTCTTTTTGTTCTTCTTTTTCTTGCGGCATCATCTTTTGTTTGCTTCGCCGCTACACAATGGGTTATTGTGGTGAGGTTCAAACAGAGGACTCTACGGACCGCGTAGAGATCCTTACGTGAGTTCGGCTATATTAGTATGGTTGTTTGTTTTGTGTTTCAACGATCCCGTGCCGCACAGTACACCCGAACGAACGAACGAACGAACGTAAACGAGAAAAAACGCATCAGAGGTCAGGGTGAAGGAGAAAAGAGAAAAACAACAGTAAGCGAAATGGTTGACTTTTGATTTTCTATGTGTGTGTGTTTGTGTGTTGGTTCGAATGTGGTTTGCGTGCTTTGCTAGTATTCATTGTTTATTAACTGTTGGTTGGATTTTCCGTTGCAAGCTAAGATTTCAAGTTCGATTATGCAGTTAATGCTGTCAAATGTTTAAACGGTCGACTGTTGCTTTTGCTAGGTTATACACATTCAATATGCATCGTCGTCGTCAGTCTCCTGCTGAGGCTGAGCACGGCCACCAGCAGCGGAAGAGGAGGAATACTCACGTGATGGACTTCGGCCCACCTGGACCAATGTTTGGGGCGTGGAGGTTTCCTCCTTCTGGGAACAGTTGAGGAAGTCCCATATCAGGATGGTGTCGTCGTGGGAACTGCTCACAATCTGGAACTCATCGAACTGAAGCCGGAATACGCGGCCCGTATGTTCCTGAAAGAATGCATCATTTAGTAATCACACGCACTTAGCAAACAGCAATTCTCAGGCAATGACTGATAGTAGACTATGGGCCTTATTGTCTAGTCAAGCATCACTTATGATCACTGACTGTACTAGACTAAATGCACTGACAAAAATTATCACCAGAAATTCATTTTAAGTCGAATAAATAAACACAGATTAGCCATGTTTTTGCAAAGTTGGTTTATTCAACTTCCTCTCCTAGGCTAAATGCCTGCACCTTGGACTTAACGCTACCCATCAAATCTTCAAATCCTTGTAGTTTTTGAAGACCTTCCCTGTTTTCCGGAGCTTGCCCTTCATAATCGCCCAGAATTTTGCTATTGGGCAAAGTTCTGGCGAGTTTGGCGGATTTGCCTCCATCACCATAAAAACAACATCATTGGCTTCGTACCACTCCATCATCAGTTTCGCGTAATGGCACGATGCCAGATCCGGCCAAAACAGAATGTCACCTTCGTGGGACCGACAGCAGGCGCTTCTGGAGGCATTCTTCTTTATATATTTGGCCGTTAATGGTGCCGGTCGTTATGTACGGCTTGCTGAATTTGCGGCACCTACAGATCGCCTGCCACACTAAGTACTTCTTGGCAAATTTGTCGACCTTCTTCTTCCGGAACTTTTCCGGAACATACAGGCGGGACTTGCCGACGAAAAATTCCAGACCAGGGACCTGCTTGGCGTCCGCTTTAATGTACGTCTCGTCGTCCATTTCGATGCATTTCGGCTGCACCAGCCACTCCACAGTGGGCAAAAATTGACAAAACCACGACTAAATTGAATATCTCGGCTGCCAAACGGTTTCAGTCAACATTTTATACATATTCTAAAAGGAAAAACTCTGCTGATTGGTGGTCGGAGACTTTTGCCTACCTAGATAGAGGGACGGGATCAACCCGAGTTCCCGGTAAAGTAGGAAATGCCACTATCTATCGACATAATTTTACACTATACTTAACGTATATTACTGGAAATTGATAGTACTAAGTATATGGTGTAAAGACACCATAAACGCCCTCAGGGAAACTCTACTGGCCTAAAGGAGGATCCGGAACGACCGATAAAGTGGCCACATTATAAAAAATGTCCTAGAACTTTGTGATTTTTTTCTATGTTGTTCAGAATCATGAGATCAAAGGGAATTTAATAAAGAATTTAAATTTTGGGGTAAAGTGGCCATATCCTGGTTCTCCGGATAATCTGGATTGATCGATAAAGTAGCCACATTATAAAAATGGTCCTAGATCTTTTGCGGAATATCCATATTGTTCAGAATCACGAGATCAAAGCGTATTTAACTTGGTATAAATATTCTGGAATATAGTGGCCATATCCTGGTTCCTCGGATAATCTGGATTGACCGATAATCCGGAGAACCAGGATATGGCCACGTTACCTCTAAATTTAAATTCTTTATTAAATTCGCTTTGATCTCATGATTCTGAACAACCATAGAAAAAATCGCAAGGTTCTAGGATCATTTTATAATGTGGCCACTTTATCGGTCAATCCAGATTATCCAGGGAACCAAGATATGGCAACTATATTCCAAAATATTTATTCAAAGTTAAATACGCTTTGATCTCTTAAACAACATAGAAAAAATCACAAGGGTGTAGGACATTTTTTATAATGTGGCCACTTTCTCGGTCGTTCCGGATCCTTCTTTAGGCCAGTAGAGTTTCCCTGTCTTTCCACCATATATACTTAGTACTATCAGTTTTAAGTAATATAAGTTAAGTAAAGTGTAAAATTAAGTCGATAGATAGTGGCATTTCCTACTTTACCGGGAACTCGGGTTGATCCAGGCCCTCTATCTCGGTACGCAATGAGACCAATGAGACCACCACCAATCGATTTAGCAGAGTTTTCCCTTTGGGAATATGTATAACATGTTGACTGAAACCGTTTGGCAGCCGAGATATTCAATTTAGTCGCGGTTTTGTCAATTTTCGCCCACTGTGCACTCGCGGTACAGCTTCCTGGTGCGGGATTTGGCCACCGTATTCTGTTTATCGGTTCGGTTAGGCGCCATCATTACATTGAAGACATGAAGTCCGACCCGCTTCATTGTCTGCTGCACGAACCAGACGGAAGAATTGACCTTCTTGGCCACGTCCCGAATCGAAGGGTTCGGATTGCGCTTGAAGTAATCCCTCACCTTCCTTGCGTTAACGGGGTCGGTCGTTTTCGCTTTTCTTCCGCTGCCAGCTCGCGGCTTGGACGATTTTACGGTCGAATTGTTGATTCCAAACTGTTTCGCGATCCACCTGTGGGACTGGCCTGGATTTTCCACGAGCGCTCCCATAATTTAGCCATCTCGATAACCACTTGACAGATTGTGACGAGATTTTGTACATGTAAACATTACACCCTAAACTAGTTTTACTCAACATTTCATAATTTTTTACCCATGCAATAAAAAGTTATACACAAAAGAAAGTGTTGCATTTTTTTCGAGTACAGCCGGCGCCGGTGGTGTAGTGGTAAGCGTGACTGCTTTCTAACACCCCAATGGGTCTGGGTTCAATCCTAGCCGAGGTCGGTGGGATTTTTCTGAGGCATAAAAATCTCTGGTCACGTCTTCCTTCGGAAGGGAAGTAAAGCCGTTGGTCCCGGCCCATGAGTGTTTGAATGGGTGCGATATCCTACGCAGGTGTGGAAGCTGCCTTCCTGCACATTCGATTGTCGTTAATGGATGGCAATCGATGTCCGTCGTTGATTGGCACTAGATTGCGGAACAGAGACCGACGTTAAATAAAGGAATGAAGATTTTTTTCGAGTACAATCTTTGTTACAGAAGTATGTAATACCAAATTAAACTAGTGACCAGAAGTGACGCTCGACTCGACTTACATAATAGGGCACTGTGAGTAGTAGTTCTCAGAATAACCGAAAACAATCCCATATCAGAAAGCGAAGTGGTCTACACCGAGGCTAATAAACTTAAAAATTCCATAAGGCATGAACCTGGAAAATTTTGATTTATTTATTTGTCTGCATTAACAGGCTGAGTATAGCCCCAATAAAACATACGATCATAAATAAAACACACGATCATCCACTGTGGCAGAAAAGAAGTATCTTCGTAGCAGCTGTCGAGGCAGATGGAAATCGAAGATGCTCGAGACTCGATTGAACACTCGTTGCAGCCCACCTATTGCACCATTCATGCCATAATTTGGGCGCTGAAGTGGCAATCTCAGCATAACGTTGGTACGTAGCGCACGGGGTTGGACGTTAATGTTGACTAGCTCCAACATTGCACTGTGAGGAGTAGGCTGTGCGTGTGATTTTTCCGTGGAGTTTTTTTTTATCTATAATCGGTTGCTGATCTGGCCAAAAGCAGGCCCAGGAGACAATTTATAGTTCCTTAGTTAGTTCACTAAGACAAAGAAGCCCTGCGAGTATCTAGTTTTACGTCCCTGTTATTTCCCGTTGAGAAGCTGTTCCGAAGACAAGTAGAACCTCCATGAGGCGTTCCATCATTCATCTCAACATTAGTTCCATCGTTTGTTGAGTCACAGCGTTGAACCTGACTATTGGCCACGAAAAGGCTTCCCAATGCACATCAAAAATCGACTACATACATCCGAACATTTGTTTATCTCAAATCGACGGAAGACATTCCGCTCAACTACCATAAACCAGACTAGTTCATGTTGGTCATCGTCAAGCTTCGTCTACAATTTGGACTCCTACATCAACACATGTCAAGCAGCCTTCAGGTTCAATTGGCTAAACTTGGTGAGTTCGTTCCATTTTGTAAATTTTTATCTTTTCAAACCAGTAACGTTGGGAGATCACCTTTTTGTGGTGCGTTACTGGCATAAGATCTACCACAGAACCCTAGTCATGACAACTTCATAGAGTTTACATAATCCTTTTCCCTTTGTCCTTCTCCTTTTCCTTTCCCTCTTCTTTTTTTTTCAGATAGCGAGTAATGGTGCTATAGCCATAAGCCATAAAAGGCTAGGACAAGAGTTAGTGCTCATGTCCCAACCGTCAGAAGAAAATGAAGCATCACTTAACCTTTCTAGCTTTGATGCTTACAACGACCAACCAATCATATAATTACCAAAATCGGAACGTACGGTACGAGATTTCCACGTTTCATCCATTTGTTGGATTCTGAAGCATCGTGTTTAAATCTTCGATTTAAACAGGCCCGATGTTTTCTGAATCATCTTGCCCCTTTAATGCTGCACAGTAGGCTTGGTCGTTTTGATATGTGTGACGCATCTTCGATGTGAAACATATATCAAAATGACAAGAAAAATAATTTAGGTATACATATATATCGTTTTCCAGGATGCTTTCAAGAACTGGCTGTGTTGGTGTTAGATTAGATTAGATTAGACTAGCTCCAAGATTGCACTGCAGTGAATTCTACCTTGTAAAATGTCCGCGATGAACAGCGCCCTAGAGGTATCTCTTCTAGTTCGGTGAGGGCCCAGATCAATCAGCTGACAACGACTTTCGTAGCTGGGCAGATGAAATGGATCTCTCCACGGCAGCTTCCGCAGAGCGAACCGAAGAAAACGGCGTTGAATGGCCTCAACTCTCTCAGCACCATTGTTGTAGTTTGGATTCCAGACCACAGAACAGTATTTCAAAATGGATCGCACCAAGGAACAGTACAGTGACTTCAGACAGTAGACCCGAGCAAAGTCCAGCATCAAAATGACAGCAAATTGAAATGAAGTTTTGATATCAACATCAAACTGAAATCATAATTTGATTTCAGTTTACGCAATGGACAAATTTGATACCAAATTTTGTTTTCATGTTGCTGTACATTTGCTCTTCAAAAATATGTTGTTGCGAGTTTGTTTTCATTGCCTTAGCATAACATCAAATTGAATAGTTGTTTTGTTATCAACAGAAAAATTGATATCAAATTTAGTTTTCAGTTTGCTTTCACTGATAGCAGAAATAGTTTTCAATGTGATGTCACAGGAAGATTTGTT